CCCACTCACCCCCTCCCCCCTGCCCTCCCTCTGAAATCCAACATAGGGCATACTCCTCTGTCCGGTCTCTCTCCTCCTACCGACGACCAGCCACTCATCCCACCAACCGACGTCCACTCGATGGGGAAAGAAGAGCACCCCACCGGTGGGTCGACTCTAGAGCCGGGCGGCGGCCACGCATGAGCACCGCCGCCGCGCCCGCCGCCGCGCCTGCTGCTGCGGTAGAGGTGGTGGAGAAGGAGGAGCTACCGACTAACGAGAGTTCGCCGGAGCTGTTGAAGATCCGGCATACATCGGCGCACGTGATGGCCATGGCGGTGCAGCGGCTTTTTCCGGGGACGCAGGTTACGATCGGACCCTGGATCGACAACGGGTGAGAGATACTGCTGTAGATAAGAGCGCGCGGGGAGGGCACAGTACTCATGTACACGCATGCCGAACTCGTTAAACCATTGGCCTCGCATCCCTACAAGGCCGGGACGTAGCCATATATATATGTGGCTTGCCCAGCCTACGTCTTACAAGGATAAAACAAAAGCTGCTCATTATGCTGTGCCAATGCGCGCGTGGTCATGAACGGCGGTGCAATGTAAAGGTGTCCTTGTTAATGGCGTTAATTGATTCTAGGGGAGTCATGAACGGCTCTGCATACGAAACGTTTCCTCGTAAAAAGGCCGTCATTGTTTGTGATGCAGACGCTCACGATAAGTCGATTAGTAACGTGACGTTTAGCGATCAGTCGGTATATCCTGGTGGTATCGTGTTCCGATACGTTGTTTGCTTTGACGACAGGTTCTACTACGATTTCTTTAACGAGGAGACGACGATGACAGATTCTGACCTCAAGGAGATCAAGAAGGAGATGGACAAGATCATCAGACAGAAGCTCCCGCTCGTGAGGGAGGAAGTCACCAGGTAAGCCCCACGCTACGCTTGTACCCGGTCACACATGCTGATTTATTTCGTGGACCGACCAACCAAGTTATTGTCGTAAGCAGTTTAAGCACGCCCTTCTGTGGGTAGCGACATCGAACGAATCATACGTGTTCGGGGCGCTCTGCCGCCCTCAGCGGCTGGTGTCGAGACTGGGTACTATGCTATCCCAGGAACAGCAGATGAAGAAAAGGACCATGTAATATTAACCGGCCCCCAAGCCCCTCAGGCAAGTGAGTTCGTGGGTTCTTTCTCTCTCTCGTACCAGGGGTCGTCTCCTACCCCCCATTTACTTCGCACCCATCCACGTAACCCCCATCAGGCGCATGCAGCGCATGCAGATCGGACACACATCCAAAGTACCACAAAAAGCCTCCCTTCAGTTTACTTGATATGCCGTCCAACCGATGCAAAAACGCAAATTGTTGTTGTTGTTGTTGTTGTCTTCACATTAAAAACCATCCCGGTCTCTCTATCCAGTACCTCCTTCTGTCTCAATCTCTCCGTACTAATCCATCACTTGACTCGGCCAATTTCCGTGGTCACAGGCTAACGTACCTAGAAAAGGTATACCAAAATAAAATGGACCCCAAGGGTCAGCAGAGCGATAAAATACAAGAAAACAAAA